CCCCCGTGCTGCTAGCAGATCTACCATGCTCGTATCCAGACACACGAACAACGTTTACGAAAAAATCGATCGATATTGGTAGGTAGGCAAATATTTCGCACGCGCAAATTGGTCGAGATGCGAGTCCTTCTACAACGGATGCATGGATGGATGGATGCGCTCCGACGAGGAAAAGGGAGAGGCGGGGTGGCACCAATCATCAATCATCATGTTGTCATTGACGTCCGTGCGAAATGCGGGGGAACACACTTCCGCGTCGAGAGGTTGCAGCCATGTGGCCCGAACCTTCGCTGGGAGGCAACATTGATAGACCTACAGCCATTCCAGCGTCGTAGTGATTGTCCATCCAGATGCAGACTGGACATGGCTTCAAATTGGTGGGAGAATAGGCAACGTTTAGGCATACATTCATCGAGATCGGAGCAATTTGGTGCCGGAAACACGTGCTGCAGACTTGTGTTTCGTGCTTGACAAGGCCAGCACCGACACAGCTAAATGTTATTGCAGGAGGCACGAATCAAGCTGAAACTTGAAGAAGGCGTCAAACGAAGTGGAGACAGCCGATGGTCTCATCCTTCGTGCCTCGGGCGTTCGGCTCAAAAAAGGGCGCGGTTCGGAGCTTCGGAGTGAAGACGGCCATTCATTAATTCATTAATTCATTCATTCATTCATTCATTTACCTTTTTTTCCTTAGACTCTTTAGAGACCGTATCGGCCTCTTAAGAGGATAGAGATCGATACGGTCTCTTGGATGAATTTCCAAGGATTTACTCCGTCACGGTTATTAGGCGGGCATGTTTTCGACGGTCTTACCATTTGGCGGATATCATTTTGGCGGTAGGCGGAAAAGCGTTTTCTTGGCGGCGATAGCGACTTTGGCGGAGGCGGCCTTAGGCGGAGGCGGTAAAAAAAGAAACGGCGTAGGTTTCGGCGGTAATGCCTTGCGGCGGTAATGCCTTGCGGTGGTAACGTCTCGTGTCTAGACCATTCAATGCGAACTGGCTTCAAGCACAGTCAGTCAAGGCTTGATCGTGGCTACGCGTCTCATAATTGCCGCACAGTTGGCGCCCGCACGCAAGAACCTCATATTTTGGCGGAAAGTCGTTTCTTGTATCTCGGGGTACCCCCCGGACAGGTTTCAGCGTAGGCCTCTCGAAGGAGCAACACCCGTTAATGGCAAAGTTCTTGGTTCTTTTTTTTCAGCCTGATTACTATTTCGCAACTCCCCCAAGTTCTTGAGTGCGGGCGCTAACTGCCTTCTGGTGGGCTTCAAGCTGTGTGCTCCGTTGGTGCCTCGAGTAGTATGCAAGATCGGTCCGGAAGAAAAGCCCGGCTCGGATGGTGAGCCCGATGGAGATCACGGCCCATACGCCCAACGCACGTTTGCTCTTCGCGAATTTGGCGTACTTTAGCCGATACCTGCGATTGTGAGCGATCACCAACCGGATGGGTCGGATCAAGTACAGGGTCGTGGCAAACAGGAGTGCTGCGGCAGGGAAGTGTCGAAGTAGGCATTGCGGCCGGGGTGATACACCCCGGCAAGGTGGTGCAATTTTGTTCCATTTTGGGGGGACACGTGGCGACGGGTCGTCATGTTTCGGTGATCTTCCGGTGATGTACAGAACACGGCCATGAGGTTTTGTCAACCTCCACGTCGCCCCCCCAATCACTAAATGCAAGCTTTAGCGCTACATCGGGAGTATCACGAGATCTTTGCGACCACCACTTCAAGCACAGCGTGCCTCCCGGTGCCCGAAAGTGTAAGAGGAGGTGACTCCCCTGCCAATTACTACAGTGCTGACGTAGAATTGCTCGCCGGTAGATTTCTGTTGTCGTCAGGGGTGAGGGGGTGGGATGCGGTTTAAGTGAAAGTTTTCGCTACGCGAAAGCAACAGATGCAACACACTACATTACATCGCCTGCGGAACACACCAAATTGGTCCTTTTTTTTGTAGGAATGTCGTTGTAGGCTTTTTCACTCGAACACAGGGTAGGAATTTTCCTAAACATTCCAAGCGTTATTTTCATGTTTGGCGTCGCCTCGTGCCAAAAAATGTTATAAGGATGAGGCATGCGTATCTCCGTTCGTTTACTGCGTAAGAAGGTCATGACGCTCGAGTTGCACACATTTGCGTTTTCTATCCCGGTCGTGTTGCTTTTACAGCCATTCGTCTCCTTCTTCTCCGTCCTCTACTCCAAACGGTGCTTTGTACCATGCACTCCTACCCTCTTCGGCATTGCGATTCGTGCCCCGACGCCCACAGAGCGGGCTTTCAATGCCCTAGCCCTACAGTAGTACGTGTGCTTCGGGTTTGAACCACGTCTAGTCTGTGAGTTCGTAAGATTCGACGGATGCATTGCTTCTAGTTGTGACAGCGGTAATACGGCACTACCCTGAAAGACTTCTTCATTCACATCGAGAGTGTAAGCAACGTTGGTGTTCCCTTCGTCTTACCGCCATAGGAGGCGACGAAGCTGGCTCAGCAAGGTACGGTGGTGCCCATGCCTCGTAGCAGCCTCAAGAGCACCGATACGACCAAAGTGAGGCACATCGCCTCAGTCACGAAAACCAGTGAGGGCGACCTCGCCGCTATCTCGAAGTCGTTCCTGTCCACAAACAACCTCCACAACAAGGCCAACCACCCGGGTACGACGGTCGCCATCGACAGAAGAAGGATCACGGGGGGCACCCAAATCAAGTCCATCATGACACCCACGCCGGGTTCGACGACGCAGCAATAAACAAGCACAGTCTTCGGCCGGCCGCGCAGACACGAGGTATGATGCGGAGTTGTTCCAGAAGGTACTCCGTCCCGATTGAAACAAACGTTTCACACAAGTTTCACCAACAATATTGCACGGCCCAAGCCGCACCTCTACGTAGTCTTATGATGGAGAGATGGAGAGTCGGAATGTAGTCTAGTTTAGAGACTATTTCTGATCTGTGGACGGGATGGTATATCTTGTGTTCGGAAAAAAAACTCTGCACACGCGGAAACTAAATGTAACCGTCGAAACGGGTAACCTACACACTAATTGACAAATGGAATGATCTTCCATACGGAAGTCGAAATTGATTTCCATTGAAGTGGTTCACTGCTTCCATGGAAGGGGTTAAAGTCACTGTCACTTCCATATGTCGACTTGAATAGAAGTTAGATTCCTTCGGTCCATGGAAATTTTATGCGTCCATGGAGGAAGTCAACTGGAACTTTCTTCTCTTTCATGGAAGCACCCGATATCAACCGTTAGTTTCCATGGAATTGGAAGTCGTATTTCGGACTTCCGCGGAGGGAGCGCGACGTCGCTCGATAGATGCAGTATGTATCTGCTTCTTCCACGGAAGCTCGACAGAGTATCTGCTTCTTCCATATGGAAGCACGAACAATTCCATGAAAGCAACTTCCACGGAAGTGGGTGACAGACTTCGAAACCGACTTCCTTCGTGGAAGCACCGAAGCCTCCATGAAAGCAAGTTCCGCCGAGGAAGCGTCTGGACATGTATGTATGTGTGTGTTCATTCCAGCTTCAAGCTAACCCTAACCCCAAAGCAACGTCCACGGAAGCGTCTGGGTCTCTGATCATACCAGCTTCCCTACCCTAACCCTAACCCACACCCTCCACCCCAACCCCGAAACCACCGTGGAAGCGAACCCAAGGCGGAATACTTCCATGGGAGCTGCCCTCAACCTGTTTTGAACAGCTGCCATGGAAGCCTGTAAAGATGACCGCAGCAATTCGACGCCAACAAATTCGTCCCGCCCAAGAAGGGCGTGGGTTAGTCTACCCTCCATCATAACGCAAGCGAACACGAAGCCGCCCGAAAATCGCACAACCGCAGTTCGCCCAAACGCCTACTGTACTTCCCCCAACAACACCACACCAAATTACACTACTTTTAAGTTGACTCAACTGACCGCAAATGAACAAAAACGAAACCGAGAAACAAACGGTCGTTGATGGAGCAGCGCCGACAACACATCACTACAACGCAACATATTGAACTACCACACCACTCGATTTTCCTCCGAAAAAGGTTTAGTGCAAACGCGTACCGAAAACAATGTTGCTTCCCCTTCCCCAAACCGCACCTCTTGCAGCTATAAATGCACTGACAGCACCCGGGCAGCAGCACGCCAAACACATGCCCGAAAGAAGACGAAACACGTCGCTTACAGGGCTGCACTTTGGGGCATCCGATGAGACAACAAAACAGCAAACGTGAACTATGGCCACGAGGGAACCAAACCAGGCGAAAAACTAGGTAAATTATTGGCATCGGAAACTGGACAAATGATGCAAGGAGCCTGGAGGAACGCAGTCATAACTAGATCATTTACACAGGCGGTACAGATACGTACAGACCAGGTATAGATACGTACAGGCTAGATATCGTTGTTCTGCCGGGAACACCGGCTCTTCTCCGAAACAATCTTTGTCAGGTTAACGTTTCCGGGAACCTGCCTGCCGGATAGCTTCAGAGCCGCTCACATGTCGGTCGCTTCGAGACGTTTGGCTCCGATCCATGGAACACACTTAAATACGGAGGCGTCTTCGCGGGCCGACCCGATCCCTTCTACCCATGAAGCATCACGCCTTCGGGCTCCTGTGCATCGCCAGAAGGATTATCCAAACGGCTACCCGAGGCGGCAAACGATTCGAGTCGTTTCAAAGTGCCCCATCCCGCAAAATAAACAGCCGGCCATGCTGCTACTCGTATCCGCACGTGGTTTTGCTGTTGGCTTCGAGGGCTACCTCGCTTTCGGTGGCGTCCTCTCCAGCCCTGCCAAGAGCGCCAGACAGAAAACATCATGCGTGACAACCGAAGAAGGCAGAGAGCAGAAGGAGGAGGAGGAGGAGGAGGAGGAGGAG